TATTCATACTCTAAGTCTTCCAGGTACATTTGTTAACAGGAGAGAAGAATTTTCCTCAAAAGCAAATGACAGCCACGTACAGTGGCCCATGCGTGTGACTGCAGCGGCTGGGGAGGCTGAGGCAGGAGGATGGCAAGTTCAAAGACAGCCTCAGCAACTTAAGTGAGACCCTTGTCTCTAAATAAAATACAAAAAAAAAAGGGGGGGGGTGTGGCTCAGTTAAAGGTTAAGGGCCCCTGGGTTCAATCCGCAGTAACCGCCCCCCACCAAAATCTTTTTTCAAGATTAGAAATATTTAAACACACACACACACACACCCCTAAGGAATTTTGACAGCAATTTCACAAAGTCACAAGTAACTGTGTCAACCTGGTTTTTGTTTTTATCTCCCACCTGGTGGACACAGGTGGGGAAGAGCAAAGGAGGTGGCGGGGTGAAGAGGCAAGTTCTGACAAGTACCACCACCTGGAGAGGAAGCCGGGCAGACACAGCCTGCTTTCCTCCCAGGACTGAAAACCAATCAGTCCTCCACACGGCAACCAACCTCCTCCACGGCGCAAGTGCAGAATTGCCCCAGGAAAAGCAGAAATGTTCCTGTAGGAGAAATGTCGCGCATGCCTCAGACAAAATCACTGTTGCCGTGGGAATCGTAACTTGAGTTTCCTGGACTTCGAATTAAAAAAAAAAAAAAAAAATCTCAAATGTGAAATTCGACTGGCAGACTCTGCTCCCATTTAACAAAAGGCTGTTTCTTCTTCTGAGAACTATTTTTATGAAATTAGCGCCCTCGCTCCAACCCAATCCTATTAAAAACTTTCCTGTAGTTTTATGCTTTCTGTTATTAAGGACAAATGGCTCTGGTATTATCCTCAGGACAAGATGCAAATAAATCTGCTCTCTGACAAATACTTGAGTTAGATCCCTTTAGTCAGAAAGTATTCACCAGTTGAGATTGTGCTGTAGGACCCCAGTTCCCAAAACTCTAGAGCTCTCTCTCTCTCAAAGCCCTGATATTAAAGCCAGGCACCAAACTAAACCTCTTCCCAGGAGACCTTTCCAAGGGTGACACCCAGCAAAGAAGGGAACTGGAGTCTGAGAACTCAGAGCACGCCTGTGTGACCGAGATGAAGAGCTCAGCTCCAGAGGCCAAGTCTAGGATGACAGGTGTCTGAGCTGAAAACCACAAATCTGCTATTTCTGCTAAAAGACACCAAGTACCAAGAGCAGCTACTGGACAGAGGGATCAACCATGTCTTCAGTGACATTGCCCCTGCCCTCTACTTCTGGGTCACCCAAGAAATTGATGCCTGATTCAACAAAAAAGAAAAAAAGAAACTTGTCCCAGGTCACACCTGCATCGGAGGCAGAGAAGGAGACACACCAGGTCTCCACTTTTCCTTTCTGCATTAGCCTATAAACCTGTTGCAATAAAGTTGTCTTCTGGAACTCACCTGGCCTCACAGTAATCATATCCTGATTACTTTTCTGATCCTCCACCTGCTCAAAAAAGGGAAATAAACCACTGGACAGGGTGGCACATGTCTATAATCCCAGCAGCTCAGGAGGCTGAGGCAGGAGGATTGTGAGTTCAAAGCCAGCCTTGGCAACTTAGCGAGGCTCTAAACAACTCAGTGAGACCCTGTCTTTAAATAAAATACAAAATAGGGCTGGGGATGTGGCTCAGTGGTGAGCTCTCCTGGGTTCCATCCCTGGTACCAAAACGGGGGGGGGGGGGATAAAATACTGAGGGACTAAGGACTCGTAGATGTCAGGGTACAGCTCAGTGGTAGAGCACTTGCCTAATATGTGAGAGGCCCTGCGTTCCATCCCCACTGCCACAAGCAAGCAAAAACGAAGTTTGTAACCATTAGCACATTTTCAGACAATGTGTCAGTGCTCCCACGTCACCTTGGGACAGCCTCCGGGACACAACTTCACGGGGCACAGGAGACACCTAATAAATATTCACAGAACACAGGACACATTTTAATTCTAAATTTCTGCAAGGCAACAGTACCTATCAGGAACACATGCTCTTCTAAGCTGATCAATGGGCACAGCTTCGTGGATGGAGATGCTAAAAGCCTTGTTGGGTCAGAACGGGAAAGATGTCCTCTGGCTACAAAGTGACCCTCATCCACTCTYTGCTCATCCTCTGTTGTTCTCTCCTCCATCCTTCACGTAGACCACAAAGAAAACCCAGAAATACATGCAGGGTGACCGCAAAATCATCTAGACTCCTGCTCCCCAGAGGTCACCCTGCTAACCTAACCATCTGCAGACACTGGGTCCAGGCGTCCAGTCTGAGAACCTCCGAGAAAATGAAAATAAAGACCTTTCCGTTTCTGTTGTCTCAGAGAAATCACTGCCCAAGTCAGAGGGAGACTGACTTCAGGCCAGAGAGGTTGCCAAAGCTAACCTGCATTTTCCAAAACTGAGTCGGAGTGAGAAGGGAGTGTCTCTCTCTCTCTCTCTCTCTCTCTCTCTCTCTCTCTCTCTCTCTCTCTCTCTCCTGTACATATTTCAACGCTGTCTAATGGAATAGCAGGAACAAGGCCAGACAGCCCCACTGCTACTGGCACTGGGGCCAGGGAACAGAAATGTATTTTTAGTCAGCAGAGCAAGGCGTCGTGATTCAAGTGCCACAGGCCCGGGGGACAAGCCGGGGGCCTTCCTGCCTCTGGCATGGGGTAGCTCACAGTCACCTGCCATGTTCCTTGCACCAAGGGCAGGGGGCAGACAAAGAAGCCTTGGAAGGACACACAGGTCCCATCTCAGTTCCATCTCTCCATATTTTGCAACTTAGTAGACCTTCGGGGAGCCGCACCTTCTTCTCTGGCAACTCCAAGATATGCTCTGCAGGGCTGGCTCCCTCACCAAGCGAGAAAAGGGGGAATGAGTGGGCGAATGGCCTGGGAGCTTGTTAAATGTGGTTCTGGGGGGTGTGGCCCTGCATTTCTTTGTTTTGGGTGGTGGTGGTGGTGGGTGGGTACCAGGGATGGAACCCAGGGACACTCGACCATTGAGCCCCATCCCCAGCCCTATTTGGTGTTTTATTTAGAGACAGGGTCTCACTGAGTTGCTTAGCACCTCGAGTTTGCTGAGGCTGGCTTTGAACTCACCATCCTCCTGTTGCAGCCTCCCAAGCCGCTGGGATGACAGGCAGGTGACACTGTGCCCAGCTATGACCCAGCATTTCTAATGGGCCTGGTATGATCCTGCTGGTGCACAACCTGGGCTCTCAGGATTCACGAGCACTTGGCTGGAGGAACACTCTGGGGGTTTCCACATCCCCAAGCTCGCCTCACCAAAGGCTGACTCATTTAATGTAGCCCATGATTAGGCACCTTGCAGGTGCTGTGCACAGAACAAGTGGGCACAAAAAAGAAAGTGAACCCTCTGCTCATACTTCAAGGGCCATGGTTTTCCTGCTTTCAGTTTTCATTCCCTCACAGGGAACAAAGACGGTCCCACAACGCCTGTGGCCCTACAGTGAGGTCTCACCAAGACCCAAGGAATCATGTGAGAACCAGCCACCATTAAGAGCCACCAAGAATCACATACTTGCTAGGTGACCCGCATGATAGCAAGTGCTTCATGTATGTTCTGCTCCCCTCTAGGCCTGGCCCTGTTCACTGTAATCCCAGTAACTCGGGAGGCTGAGAGAGGATAGCAAGTTCGAGGCCAGCTTGGGCAACTTAGTGAGGCCCTAAGCAACTTAGCTAGGCCATGTCTCAAAATATAAGAGTTTGGGGATGTGGCTCAGTGGTAGAGTGCCCTGGTTCAATCCTCAGCACCAAAAAAAAAAAAAAAAAAAAAGTCAGGATCACATTTTTTATTTTTTTAAATAAGATTCAGAGATGACGTCAACTGTCCAGGATAGGGTGAGCCACCATCCAGGCCCTCCCCAGGCTTTCCTGAAGAACCCTCAGCAGCCTCAAAAAGGGTTCAGCTCCAGAGCGTGTTTCACAAGGACCCGGCGCTCCCTGAACACAGAGCCCGCAGCCAGCCCACATCCAACATCCAACATCGACACGCTAACCCGAGATCTTATTATTAGGGCCTTCCTGCCGAATCCCCCCTGCTCAGCCAGCTGAGTTCCAGGGTTCCAGAGAAAAGGACGCACGCAGGTGAGCAAATGAGTTGTAAAACCAGCAAAATCAAGATAAAATAAAATGTCTGCAGGGTGGACAGGAAATTCAGTAGGAAGGGGGTGCTCTGCTCTGAAGCTGCCCCAAAAATCTGGTGGAGCGCACGGCTGGACTCAGGCTGGCTGGCGTATCTGGGAAGACCTGTCAGGGTGCAGGGGCAGGGCCAGGCCAGGTGCCCTGTCCCCAGCAAAGGCAAACAGCTCAAATGATCGCACCCCAGGGCTTCCTCGCTGCGTTTTGGTTAAAACCCTGTATGTCCTTTTTGGTTTCCTCTGTAAGAACACACAGATTTCACTTCAGTCTATCATTGACCATGACAATGAATTCCTCTTTTTTTCTGCTGATTTCTGAGGCCAGGGGGCACTTCATTATATATATTTTTTTTTTAGAGCCCTAAAAGTAAACTGAGTCTCAGTCCCAAATTCACTGGCACAGGGCTGAGCCTGCTATCTTATAATTCACACGGCTTCCTTTAATTCCAGTTTATTCACCTGAGCTGCAACTTCATGGGTCAGAGAGCAAGTAGAAATGTCCTAGCGTCCCCCAAATGGGAGACAAGTCAAGGGCTGCAGATGCGGCTCAATGACAGGGCACTTGCCGAGCTAGCAGGTGTGAAGCCCGAGGTTCCATCCCCAGCCCTGCCGGAAAAAAGGGGGATGGGGGGGGGGGGCAAAACTTCCAGCTTTTGATTCTGCAAAACCCCAGAACAGCAGACGAGGCATTTTCCGTGAAGAAGGTCATTCTTCACCAGTGAGCAAGCACGCCACCACAAGTTCTCCTGCCACCAGTGTCAGCAAGCCAACACCACAGCCCCACCACAGCCCAGAGCCCCCAGATGGCACTACTCACAGAAAGAGAGTCACCACGTGTGGAGAGGCAGCACCCAGGGACGGTATGGCTGTCAACTCATTGTTATGGAGGTACCTGTAACAAAAGCGAGAGGGAATGGATCATATGGAGCACTTAAGTTAAGCACTTAGAAACACAAACATACAAGGCCAATCAAAACCACCGTGAGCCGGGCGCCATGGCACAGACCTGTCATCCCAACAGCTTGGGAGGCTGAGGCAGGAGGATCGGGAGTTCAAAGCCAGCCTCAGCAACCCAGGGAGGTCCTAAGCCACTCAGTGAGACCCTGTCTCTAAATAAAATATAAAATAGGGCTGGGGATGGGGCTCAGTGGTTAAGCACCCTGGGTTCAATCCAGCTACCAAAAAATAGATAGATAGAGATAGATAGATAGATAGATGATAGATAGATAAATAGATAGAAACCCACTGCTGCATTCCCCACAGGAGGTGTGAAATAAAAGAATCCACAAGTGAGTTTTAAAAGAGAAAGAAGTCCTAAGAAGTCACAAAGCCTAACTATTCCTCACACCCCTGGTAAGAAATGAATACTAACATCAAGCTCAGAAAAGAAAATCAATACTAATAGACATCGAGGAGCGAGATTAGGCCCAGACACATGTTTGGGTCAAGTGTGGCCCCAAGTCCATCCTGGTTGGCTTAGTCAGTCAGGAAGGGATCTAGGGAGGAAGGACTGTCCCCTCCTGGTTGCTCAGTGCTCTGCCTGAACCACAGGGCAACATGCAGGAACAGAAAGCTGGAGCCCACTGGCTCACTCCTGTGGGGTGCTGAGGTGCTGGTGACATATGGGACCGATTATTTCGACGCCTTCATTCACTATGAAATAACCAAGGGGCTGGACTCAGAGACGCTCATCCATTTGAGGTTCCAGCTTCCTTGGACTCTGATTGAGTCTCTGGATGGTCTTCCAGGAAAACAAACACACACGCCCGCTTTCTGCACACAGACATTGTGAAAACCCTCTGCAGACAGGATGTGCTCTCCAAGTCCCCTTCCTGCTGCAAGGTTCTGAATCTCTCTTTGCACCGTTGATGTCTCTTAATGGAAGGGAAAGCCCATGGACACAGCTTGCCTAGTCTTCCCCAAGAGGCTGTACAATCTGGCCTCCTTACATGGACATGTATTTCCAAATCTGGGAAGAGAATCCAAAAGTCAGGCTTGCAACGTGAGCCCAAGAAACCTCAGGAAAGCCAAAGCAGCGTCCAGGCATCCTGCCGGGTGACGGGCTGGAAAGAAGTTGTACTTGAGATGCAAAGTCGAGGGAATAAAACTGGATCATCTTGCTCTCCATTTTTTAAGGGAGGTACATCTTACACACAGGGTACTCTCTGAAGAGAGGCCACTGGCATGACAGCTGTATTCATACAAGCAGAGAACCCGCCTCTGCCTGGACAGAATCATCTGGTTGTCTGCCATCTTTTACAGAAATGAATAGGAGAAGGGGGAAAAAAAAAAGAAAGAAAGAAAGAAAGAAAGGAAGGCCTTGAATTATCCCATTTGCTTTCTTCAGTGCCAAAGCCGGTTAGGGATGAGGCTTGGCAATTACTGGGCCGTAGGACACAGAATGCCTGTTTCAATAGCTTCATGACTGAAGCATCTGGCAGAGAGAAAGCAGATCCGTATCATGTGGCAAATCCTCTCTCCACTTAAAGAGCCCTTGTTTGTGTGTTGAAATAGGCAATTAATTACTTTAACAGTCTGTTATCTGACRGTCCCCTGAATCAGATGGTTTCTGCTTCTACCTTTTATCTCTCCCAGCCCCGCTGCTAGATCCATTTCCCATTGCGGTACTGAAAACTCTCCATCAGTCTTAATCGTGACCAGGAAGATTTCACAGTACCTAGGAGCACACTTATCACGAGAGGACACCCTCCGATTTCACCAGAGTCAGAAAAGCTCAGCTCAGGCCCCTGCTACCACCAAGGTCTCTCCTAGAGATTGACTCTAATGCAGAAGATGAGGTAATAAGAAGAGTAGCAGATAACTTAACCAAAGGCTCACTACCTGCCAGATGAAGCTCTAAGAGGTTTTCAGCCTACGGACTCATCTTTTGGACCCTAGAAGTGGGTCCCAGGAATGTTTCCATTAAAATAAGAGGTGTTAAATAATTGAACCAACATCACTAGCAGGAAATAGCAGTGGCCCARGAAATCTGGCCCCAAAGTCTGGGTTCTTAACTACTATCCTCTCTGTTTTTTTTTTTTTTTTTTTTAATTATCATTATTTCCCCCCAGGGGTACTCGACCACGGAGCCCCATTCCCAGCCCTATTTTGTATTTTATTTAGAGACAGGGTCTCACTGAGTTGCTTAGGGCCTGGCTAAGTTGCTGAGGCCGGCTTTGAACTTGCGATCCTCCTGCCTCAGCCTCCTGAGCTGCTGGGATGACAGGCGTGCACCACCACGCCCCCCTTGTTTCTTTATGATCGTAGTGAAACCCCTGTGTGTATTATGTAAAGTGATCGTCACAACAACTTTGAGTTGGGTTCCGGGTACTACTGCTGTTTCCTATGTGACACTCATTTCCCAAGTTAGTTTAAGTAACCGGCCAGGGGGACATGGCCAAGAGATGAACAGTGACCTCAAATCAGAGAAGAGAGCAGCGAGCAAACAAGCCAAGAAGCATGGGGCTGGCCGGAAAGCTCCTAATCCCTTAGGTAACATTGCAGTTGTTTTCCTGCCTTGATTTGAATTTGAACCTAAAACTGAGTATGTAAAAACTCGGGCTAATGAGCCTTGTCTCAGGCCACCTACTGTACATATGACAAATCGCTCCACCCAATTTCACAGAAATAAAGGAACACGGTAAAAGGGCATGATGACATTTCCCATCTTGACAGAACGGCTGTACGTAGAGTAGGCAGGGACAGTGGAGCAGGGCTTCTGATTAACGGGGCATCCATCTGGACGAGTATCCCCAAGTCCACAGGCTGGGTCAGAAATAGCAGGTTCTAATCTCAACAGGGCTGCCCGATGTAGGAACAGGAAAGTTGGAGCTCAGAGGAGAGGAACTGCACGGATTGCTTATTTGGGGATCGTTTCTACTTAAAAAAAAAAAAAAAAAAAAAAACTGCTGGTGCAATGGATGTCTACTTGCTCCACCGAGCACTGGCTCCCTTCCCGATCGCTCTGTCCATCCCCTGTTGAAAGGAGAATGAGATCCTCGGGAGGCCACAGAGGCCAAACTCAGCTTTGAGACTCTGAGAGCTTCTAGCCAGACTGAAATAGAGACTGGTCAAAAATAGCACACAGCCGGAGCTTTGAGGGAAAAGACAACTGGGAATGTTTAGCTGTCTCCATGTAGTTAGAAACTTTCGGGAATAAGGAGGGTGTCTGATGGAATCTTTTTACTATCTAGGGCTCTGCAGTCTGGCACCCCGTCCCCCAACCTTAACTTCTCCCCTCCAGCCCCCAAACGAAGCTGATTTCCATCAAAGGCCCTAAAACTCTTGCTGAGATATCTGGCTTCTATAAAACTTTTCCTGATGATTCAGGACYAAGAAGTGCCTCAAATGTATCAGACAATGAATCACGGCCCAACCCAGGAGCTGCAAGGAGGTGTAAGTTAGGTCAGTGGGGGCTGTCCCCAGAGCAGAACCCGGACAAGACCTGACCCACTCGATCCTTAAGGTCAGCGGGGACTTGTGGGTCCCTGAGTTTTCTCCCCAAACTTACACTTACTTTGCTCGGTTCAAGGAAAAAGTTACATTGAAATGTTCAAAAGGACACTTCACAGTACATCATCATCGTTTACTATCTTAATGAAGTTTGGCTTTGAACCAACAATATAAAACCCACCCAAGGAGTATTACGGGGTTATAGCATTTTTTTTTCCCTTACCAGACTTATTGATTGAATAGCGGATAGAGGCACACAGTAAAGATTTCAAACCATTTCAAAAAAGAATACAGGGAGGACACAGTGAAAAATAAAGTTCCCGTATCCTTCAGTCTCCTGGCCTGCCTCCAAGGGGAACCTCCTGCTGCAGGCTATGAGAGATGTGCATGTGTTTTTATTTTACACAGACGCCTGTGTCTTGTGGGCTATTCTGTACTGCTACTTTCCCCTCAGTAATATATCTTGAGGAGGTCTTCACAAGTCTTTCAGCCAGCTGCAGAGTAGTCCTCTGCTGGTATGAGTGTTTGGTTTTATTATTTTTTTTTTTTWAAAAAAGGACCCTTTTCTTCACTGATTTATTTCGCCAATTTGTTCTTGGTAGGCAGAATGTTTGTTTCAATTGCTTCCAACTAGAGACACAGATCCAACTACTAACAATCGAGTCAGGAGGTGGGCTGGAACTATGATTTCCCTTCTTTTTTTTTCTCCTTACTTATTAACCAATTTATTTATTTATGGTACTAGGGGTTGAACCCAGGGCCTCATGCATGCTAGGTAAGTGCTCTACCACTGAGCCACAGCCCCTGTTTTGAGACAGGGTCTTCCTAAATTGCCTAGGATGGCCTTGAACTTGCCATCCTCCTGCCTGAGCCTCGGGGGCAGTTGGGATGACACGTATGTACCACCACATCAGCTTGGTTTTGTTTCTTAAGAGGGAAAAAGCCATCAGGAACACACAGGAACATGATTTCAAGAGAATTAATAACTAAGGTTATGCTTTAGCTACTGGAGAATAATACATACTAAAAAATTGCTTTAGCAAGACTTCATGATACATAATTTATAAAATTATTTTTTGTATAGTGACAAAGAATATACAGCTCTCCCTTGGTATCTGTGGGGTTACCCATAGGAACCCCCCCTCCACCAAAATATGCCCAAGACCTTTACAGAAAACTGTAGCAGTATTTGTATAAATCCTATGCATATCCTCATATACACTTTAGATCACTTCTAGGTTACTCTGAATGTTATCTAACATTGCATAAAGGCTATGGAAATAGTTGTCACATTGTATTTTTAGGGAATGACCACAGGGGGGAAAAAGTTTGTATATGTAATCTTTTCCCCAATATTTTCAATCACAGGTTGGTTGAATCCATGGCCACTAAACCCTTGGACATGAGGAGGACTGGCTGTGGTCACTTTAACAAGTGCATACAATAATCAGGGTGAACACAGACCCAGTGCCAGGTCTGTTGCAAACCTGAATGGCAAGCCAACCCTTTCAGGAAAATAGGAATGATCATCCCACCTCAAAAGAAGGAATGGAGACAAAGTGGCAGAAAAGGAATTTTTTTCAAAGAGATTACACAGCTTGCTTTTTTTTTTTTTTTTTTTTTTTTTTTTTTTTTAGTACTGGGGATTGAACCCAGGGACACTCACTGAGCCACATCCCCAGGCCTTTTTTGTATTTTATTTAGAGACAGGGTCTCACTGAGTTGCTTAGGGTCTTGCTAAGTTGCTGAGGCTGGGCTTTGAACTCGCGATCCTCCTGCCTCCGCCTCCGGAGCTGCTGGGATGACAGGTGTGGGCCACTGAGCCCAGCCAGCTTGTGTTTTAAAGTCAGACCTCCTTGTTCTCAAAACTTGCAGTACTTTTGTTTCACTTTTCAATCAATGAAAATAATACAAGTGCCAGCCTTACAGGGTCTGGGCAGGTTATAGCTGAAATAATGAAACATAAAGGTTGAGGATACAGATACGTGGGAAATGCCTAGCAGGTGGTAGTGATTCACAGCCAAAATTAGTGCCTCAGAGTAACCCCTTCCCGACCTGTGCCCAACATACAACCATCATGAGCACGTCTGTGCATGCAGCCTTAGACGCTCACAGCACAGTGAACCATAAATACCCGAGAGCAGACACAGGCTAGGCTTCCTCGCCCTCAGAACATTTTAGGTCAGTGGCCCTGGCGAGAACATAGGGGTATCCACAGCAAGCAGTTTCAGCCAGGCAGCAGTAACGTGAGCTGAGCGCCATTTTCGCCGAGGACTGTATAAATAGCCTTCCTATTATAGAAGAGCCTCCGCGTCCAGCACCCTGGGTGGAGGCCCTCCCTGGTGGGCCCTCGGGGCTGTGGGCAGTGCAGACCGTGTGGCTTGGAAGCAGCTGTCTAAGTGCCCCCATGTCCTCCAAGAGCCTCCACATGCTGGCTTTCTCCCTCTCACCAGCCCACAGTGTTATGTGGTTCGAGGGCCTCCAAAATTAAACCGCTGCTAAGCCACCTCCGGCTCCTTTGCCAGCCCTGGCTCTGACACTCCGCAGGGTTTGGGAGAACTGGCTGCCCCCTGGGAAACACTCAGGCCCAGCTAATTCTGATGCAATGGGGTATCAACTGCGATTCTTGAGGGTTTTTTGGTTTGTTTTGTCTTTTCTTCCACATCCTTTCCYATCTCCCCACCGCTCACCCCTGACACCTCCTTCAGTCTCCAGGAGTATCAGAATTCCCGCAGGAAAGCCCCACAGGCTTTCAGTGAGGAGTTCTGCTGCTCCGGGCACCATCTCCCRAGAGTCCAGGGAGTGGTACCAGGGAGAGAAGGCAAAAGGTTCAACCTGTCAGTCTCCAAAAATGTGTTTCTAAAGGAGCGCTCCGCCAGGGCTGCCCAGTTCCAAAAGTAGCTGGAGGGAAATGACACTCAGTGAGCCTCTGCCATAGCCAGGGCCACGCACCATCTTCAGTGAATGACTACGACGATACTGATCGCGTGTCACTGTGTCGATGGCACAGAGGAGGCAAAGGGAACACCAGGAGCTGTCACTTGTCCAGGGACGCAGACTCAAAACGAGAACCCCAAGGGGCAGAACCAGAACTCAAATGTCAAAATCCAGTCCTGCTTGCCACTAAAATGAGGGTCCCCCCCACACACACATCGCCCCTACTGTCTCTGTAATAGATGACCTCGGCTTTCCAAGGCCCACTCAGGGAGGCAGTGCTGGGGGTGGGGGGATTCCACTCTTCAATTCTTGAAGCAAGGAAACTAGAGGCTGGTGGTCAAGAGAGCAAAACCCCATGGAAGGAAGTCAAAGCCTGTGTGAGCAAGGAACAAGAAGGAGGGAGCTAGCAAGACCCACGCTGAGAGCACCCTCTGAAGCCTCCACAAAGAATGTGTTAAAATAATGTTTCTTTTTTTTAAATGTCAAAATGGTGGTGGGTTGGGAGGCTGAGGCAGGAGGATCACGAGTTTAAAGCCAGCCTCAACAACTTTAACAAAGGCCCTAAGCAACTCAGTGAGACCCTSTCTCTAAATAAAATATAAAAGAGGGCTGGGGATATGGCTCAGGGGTTAAGCACCCCAGGGTTCATTCCTAGTAAGGGGCGGGGCAGGGGGCGGGGAATGCAAAGCAAAATCCATGATAAACAAAATATCAAAAAAGTTTAAATCCAGACAGGGTCAGCCACGGTGCTATGTCAAGCCATGCTGGAGTTTTGGGCAACAGGAAAATGATCAGTAGTACTGATTCTGCCTCAGTTCAAAGTTTTTATATTTTGCTCCTCGTAGATATTTGAGGGAGGGGGGTTAATTTTGATTTTTTTTAAAGCATTGCATCTAAATAGCCATTACCTTGATCGCTGGGTTTGGGGTGCCCTCAAAATTTCTATGCCGGAGTCAAGTGCCCCACCTTCCTCTCCTGAGCCCCTTCCCCATTTGCATGTCTTATTCAATCCCGTACTTCCAGCACCCAGGACAGTGGCTGGCACAGAAAAGGCACTCAAAGAAGTGTTAAGTGGAAGCCCGGATGATGTCAGAGGAAATGCCCCAATTTTAATTTTTGTTCAACTCTAAAAAAGAAACCACAGCCAGGTCTTGGGGCCGTTATTAGGTATATAAGAGTTACTTGAACTCAAGCACTTGCAGTACCATGACAGTTAACCTGAAAAGTGAGATGACTTCCGAGTGACAAACAGGAAGGTAGGATATACAGCATGGATACAATGGGAAAGGGGGCAAATCATGAACCATGCAGAGGAGCACAGGATTTCATCACACTATTCATAATAATCCATGTCAATTTAGAACTTATGTTTTTTTGTTTATTTTTGATATTTTCAGACTGTGGTGGACCACAGACAACTGTACTGTCATTTGTCAGTAAAGGCATAATGATGCAAACACCCCTTCGCACRGGCTTACACTGCCCATCTCGGAGAGTAAGGAATGCTGCAAATGAAAGGATTTTCTCCAAGATTTCTCCACCCCTCTACCAACCAGACAGAGGTTTAGGGAAAGCACTCACACTTCCTGTAGATTTGGCAAGTCCTCAAAGCCGGCAGGGTCAATCTCAGAGAGTTTGTTGTAACTCAGGTTTCTGGTAAAGGAAAGGGGAAAAAAAAATTAATCAATATTTGGCATTGTGCCCCGAATTGACAAATTTTATCCTTCCCCACTTAACCCCTCCCCAAAAAAATCCAAGCCCTCTCTCCCTCATAATTCCCATTGTCTCATGCATTATTTTAAGTAACATTATTACTACTGAAATTTACAAATATACCTTTCCTGCCCACTTGCATCCATAAACAAGGCACTGAAAGCCAGGAATGGACATGCCAACCACCTGAGGCAATGGATTCAAGCAATACCATTTTACCACCTAACAACCTGTAAAGAAATCCTAAAGTGAGCCAGACCCCTACCCACATTAAGGTGTCCTGGTCCAAATACTCTGCACCAAATACTTTGAAAAGTCCAGGGCTATTCTTTTATACATACATGGAGTCTAACTCCCCATTCTTGTGGTTGGACCTGATGTGGAGTTTCCCTGGTCGTGTGTTCACATAGGAACACGGGAAAGTTCTGTCCCATTCACTCCACTGTCTTTCCCATTCCCATCCCCCTCCCTTCCCTCCATTCCCCTTTGTCTCATCCAATGAACTTCTATTCTCCCCCCACCCCTTATTATGAGTCAGCATCCACATATCAGAGAGAACATTTGGCCTTTGGATTTTGGGGATTGGCTTATTTCACTTAGCATAGTAGTCTCCAGCTCCAACCATTTACCGGCATATCAAGGCTATTCTTAATGACATTTTTTTATTAATGTTTGACTAATGCATTAACATCAAACAGCAGTCAAGAAATGAAGAAAAGGTGGTTCAAGCCCTTTATTGTCTAAGCCAGTGGTTCTCAATCAGGGATGATTTTTACCCCCATCCCCACCACGTKCCCCGCCCCCCTCCCCCCACCATGGGGAGACAACTGGCAACGTCTATAGACATTTTTGGCATAAAGACAGAGGCGAWCGGGTGGTTCTGGGGTCTGGTGGGTAAAGGGCCAAGGCTGCTATTCAATATCCTACTGTGCGCAGGGGCTGGAAATATCCAGTCCTAGTGTCAATAGTATCTCCTGAGACTGAGAAACCYTGGTCTAAACAGGAATTCAGGACTCAAAATTGCTCAAACGCAAAGCTGAAGTTGGAAAGGTTGTTGACAAAAAGAACACTACAAGATTCGGAATTATAAGGCTCTTTATGAGCCCAGTATCCCCATGTGCGATCGTCACACAGGAGAAGGGAACCCTAGGCAGGGAAAGCCCGCGGAGCAGCCCTCTCGGGTGATACCCCCTGTCTCACTAGCTCAGAATCACACCGTTCTTCCCATTCACCCCCAGCTGTACCCTCCAAGACCAAGAAGGGGTTTGGGCAATGCTCAGCTGAGCTTCTCTGATCACAGCCTCGACCCAGACCCCAGACCAGCTTCACCTTTTGGGGACAGAAACCACGAGATGTGATCTCCAAATCAGCCCCAGCTTCYCACTCCGTWCTCCTGCTGCCAAAGTTAAGTCCACCCAGCCCGAGCACGCCAAAAGAGGTTCACGTGTCTCATCTCAGCTATTCATTCCCCTGACATTCCTGCCAATGAGCAGCCCCAGTAATCAGGAGTTTAAAGTCTGCCTCTGAACAACGTCACCGAAGTGGCAGCTATCTTTTAAGGTGACTCCAGAGACATTTCAATCAATACTAACCTAGAGCTGAGAGCCATTTCCCTGTGACATGGAAGACATTCATCTAAATAAAAGTCAAGCTGCGCTGGAAACTAATGGCACCTCTGTGTCTGTGGCACAGCCTGAATTAAAGGCCATTTGTCCAGAAATTAAGAGGCCGTCAAGACGGAAGGTGGTAACTTTTAAAAACTATCTTTAGTTGTAGATGGACATAAAAATAAATAAATAGATAAACGCGTTATGTGGTGCTGAGGACTCAACGCTGAGCCTCACACTGGTTAGGCAAGCGCTCTGCTGCTGCGCTACAGCCCCAGCCCAGGTGAGAACTCTTAAAGAAGACAGATACTGAAGTCAAGTGCGAGCTTGCTGGTCCTCGGGGGTATTTATCAATGGGTACATAGAAACCAACAGGCTAGACCCGAGAAAGAAAACCCACAAAGGGAGAATTCCTCACGTCTGAAAAAGGACTGAGATTTTTCTTCTACTCTGAGAGGATTATCATGGCGGGTCCGGGGGGATGGTGGCTACCATTTCCACAGGGAAAGACACTGAAAGCCTCAGGCTATAATCCATGTCATCACAGGTAATGTGAGAGATGTCCTGGAGGAGACATGAGAGAAGAGCTCTCAGAAACCATGGAAGCAAGAGATGCAAAGAGTGGGTGCTTCGTGCAGCTGGCAGAATGACCAGGACACCAGCACACCTAACGGGACATTTGCTCTCCGTTTCAGAAATAAGAACCAGCAGAAGTGAACCTTCTTCATTTTCCAGAAAGGCTCAAAATATGAATGCTTATGGGAAATCCTTTTCTATTTTATTTAGAGACAGGGTCTTGCTGAGTTGCTTAGAGCCTCACTAAGTTGCTGAGGCTGGTTTGAACTCGTGATCCTCCTGCCTCAGCCTCCTGAGTGCTGGGATTATAGCCAAGTGCCACCATGCCCAGTAGAATCTTTTAAATGCTTGGGGGAGGGGGGACACAAAAAGTCRCCCAGGATAGGTCAAGCGAAACCTGTCTGCCAGCCACATCTGGCCAGAGGACTGCCAGTTTTTGGCCTGATCTGGGCCACTGGCTCTGGAGGCTGTTAGTTCTGAGGGACAGGCTTGTTTCCGGCTCCCTGTGTGGCCAGGAGTAGAGCTGGGACTCACGGGGTCTTACACAGTCCCCTGAGGGTTCTGCGTTGAAGTCACTTCCCTCTTTTCTCCCTAGCAAGTGTCTGCCTACGTCCTTTAGCTACTTAGAATAAAACCCTCCACTGCCCCAACACCCTCTCTGATTTCCCTTAAAGAGCCGACATCATCTCCCGAGAGTCCAGAAGTGCAGTCAACCTTCTGTTTCCTGGGCCAGGCTACCTGAGAGGAGAGTCCTCCCTAAACATGATCATCCAGAGGCCAAGCAGCATCAGGATGGACAGTGAGATTCCAGRACAGAGCCCCGGAGAGGAAGACCGTGTACACGGAAACGTGAGCTCCCGCTGGGTCAGCCCRGAAGCAGGGACTTTTTTGAGTTTCAATGAACTGGAAAAGGCACGTATGAACAAGGGTCAGGGCTGCCTGGAGAGTCTCCTGTCGGACRCTCGTGGGCAACGCAGAGAAAACCCAGTGCAGAAGCTCTCGTCTCCTGAACAGCCAGCCACTGCCTCGGGACGGAGCTGGCCTAGCATTCAAGTTGGAGAAGTAAGAGRTCCCTAAACCCAGAACAAGCYGCTGAGCCTCRAATGCTCCATCAGGCAACAAGGAAAATATCTGACTGTGTTCTCCCTTCTACAGTCAAACACACAATCCTYAGGCACTGTTTCGTTGGCCCATTTCGGGGAGAAAAACTCCCCCTGTGATTTTTTCATTTTTAATTGTGGGAAGATGTGTACCACATCAAGTTCACTCCCTATTTTAACCATTTCTCAGTGGGCTGTGTGCATGCCTCCGTTCACATGTCAGGCAACCATCACCACCACCCAGTTCAAGGACCTTCTCAACATCCCCAGCSGAAATCCYGCACCATTCAACAGGGACTCTGCCCCATGGGTCCACCACCCTTGGAAGCCGGCCACTCTAGGTTCCTTGTGGAATTGCAACCACATGGTACCTTTCCTCCTGGGCCTGGCTGATTTTGCTGAAATCGGTGCCTTCAAGGTCTAGCCATGCCCGGATCCTGGCACACACCTGTCATCCCAGCAGCTCCAGAGGCTGAGG